TTTCAGAAGTCCGTTCGACTCCCGAAACGTTCAAAAACCAAGGAGAGGCTTCCGATTGGCGCAGGCGCCCCAGAAACAATAGCCGACAGCCGTATCAGACATTCAGCTTCCAAAAAACATGTGAAAACCGTAACACTTCTGGGTTTTCTGTGTCCGGGGGCCCAATCTGTTCATCAACTAAGCCATTTGAGAACCAAGGTTCCACTGTTTTGGATATTGAAAAAAACTGGAGGGAGACTAGAGAAAGGACAGTGTTGTGGGTCTGTTCTGTTGTTATGTTTGAGGAAGAGATGGTGGTGGTTGCAGTGTATGTGTGTAGTTGCTGGAGGGGGAAACTGGATCTGGCCAGTAGGCCAAATCATTATCTCCACCACCCGTCATGGGCCAAGACTGGGAGGCGGGCAGAGCCACTCAGCTGTCAATCGCCTAATATCACAATGATTTTCTTTTTCTTGCACGGCTCTTGCAGAGTACTTTGCAAAGTGAAGTGCAACATAATGCTTCACAAGGGGCTTCTCAGGACCTGACAGTCATCTGAGAAGCGCCTTTCAAACTGCTGTCTTGCGCAGGGCTTTGGAAGGGGCAGTCAGCAAGACCTGAGACTCAGCGGTGAGTCTACAGATCCTTTCTCCCTCCTTCTCTGTAGTGCAGTAGTTAAAAAAGGCAAGCAACGCATGCCATGCTGTTGCATGTTCAAGCCACAGCCTACACGAGAGGAAACACATATGTAACTGCTTTATTCTCTCTGCTCTACTTTGTGGGATGAATCTGCAGTTCCCAATTTTGGGGTAGATTTGCCTTCTTTCAGAAGGTCTGCTTTGTTTATAGAACCCATTCTGCTTCCAAGGTGATTGACGTGTGCGTACTTGAGTTGGGGGCTCCTACATCAAAATGTTGCAGTACGTCCTCACCTCATAGCAGCGGTGCTGTTGTTTAAGTTTCCAACCAGCCAGCCATTTCCGATGCTACCAGACCATCCACACTCATACCAGTTATCAGCTCTTCTGTTCTAATTGGCTGTTGGGCACCCTCAGTTTTCATTGGTCTGTCCTTTTGGTGTCTTTTGCCCCCTTAGGGTTTTAAACCTTGTGGTTCCCCCTAGAATGCCGATATCTCTTGGTGTCAATGACCACATGTCGGTTCTAGTCCCATTGCTACTCATCACCTGAGCTCACTGTCAGAGGACGTGGTGATGTTTCTGCTTACCTCTACCTGACAATTGGTGGTATTTTGCACCAGCTGAAGTTTCAAAAACTGCACTATTTTGAATATACCACCAGGGTATGAGCGGCAGTGTCTGTCTTCTAACACTGAATCCGTCATAATGCAGAAAAGTCACCTTATTGTCTCCTTATTGTGGCTCAGTAGATGGAGCGCCTCTTCGATCTTACAGATCATGAGCAAATAGTTTAAATTAAGAGGGGGAAATAAGATAAATTTCCAGATATCAGACAGAACTTCCTACAACTCACTGTAGACAGAGGAATAGAATATGAGTTCCTCACCCACCTGTCTACACCATCAACATAGGGTTTTGTTTCTCCTTTTCTTTGTCACCCCCCATTTTCCCTTTTCAATCTTTCTGTATTTTTTTTTAATCTTTCCGTATTTTTCAATTTATTACTCGAATAGACAAATCGGTATATGAGTAAGCAAAGGATGCAGGAATTGCAGACTCTCCCTCCCAGGCTGCAGGGAGCGATACTGCTATGTGGGAACCAGCGGGTGGGGGTTTGTAGCTGGGAAGGAAAGTGTTAACCTTCTCCAGTTCTGTGATCTGCCCCCAAATCTCCCTCCACATCAATCTGGCTAAAAAAAAAAGGGGGGTGGGGGAGCTTCCACTGGTGGCAATGGAAGCGTTTACAAGGAGGGAGGGAACTGGGAACAGTAAGAGAGAAAAGGGAGATAAATGAATAGATGCTTTTATAATTTTATGATTGTGTAATTATAACTCAGTGGAGGAGAATTTCAGGAACCTTTTAGGAAACAACCTATAACAAAAAATAAAATAAAATTGGACTTTGGTATAACTGAGTTGGGTTGTTTTTTTTTTTAAGGTAAAAAGCTCTACCAGTTGTGAATTGGGTCATCACTCATCTCGATCAGATAGAATCATTTTTAGGAAATCCCTAGGAGATGTTTCCTGAATTGTTACTCTAGAGCTGTTACGTTACAAGCACAAGGATTGGTTGCTTGTGGGTGATTCTATGAATCTATTGTTCCTTGGGCGTTGCGGAACGTGCTAGTGGAGACTTGCTTTGCTTTTCAAGTATGGAAGAATCAAATTCAAGCTGTTTTTTAAAATCAGATAAATGAAGTATACATGAATTAAAATAAATCTTATTTCTTTTCTTTTTTAAGACCAGCGCGCCTGATGCTTAAGCAATATGGTAGCATTCAGAAATGCACATTTCTGGAAGGCCTTGGGAAAAAAAGTTGTGGCAGGACCCCCAGTGTTTAACAGTTTGAGACCCTTGACCTACGAACAGTTTTAACAGATGTTTCGTTGAAGAGATATGTGTTGACACTGTAATTCTCTCCCCCCCCCTTGGAAGTTCATTTCTGGAATATCAGGAGAACCCATTTATTTAACAACAACAGCCTATTTAGTTCATCTACAGCCATTCATAACTCTCCCAGAGCCAGTGATCAGGAAGTCCTTTTCAGGTTTCATGGCATGGGCTGTGGAGACTTACCCTCCCCTCAAGATACACTTTAATTTTAATTTTAATGTGAGATATCTTGAATTGAGAAGTGTGGCTTTCTAGGCCGGCCGACAGAACGCAGAGGGGGGAAAACGAGGATTTCTAATTGAGCTGGCTCCGACTTCTCGAGACTTACCTAACTGCTGTGCTATTCTGAACTCCAGCCTCCCCCCCAAAACCCTCCCTCTCCCCATCAGCTTTGATCCTGGCAACTAAAGTTCATTCCATAACTCAGGTCAGACAGAAATGATGCATTGCATCACAGCTGCTTTTATGAAAGTGTTTATTTCATATCTGAAATGTTTTTAATATACATTTGCTTTGCTATGACTTGCAGGAGGAGAAAGAGAGCAGTTTTACTGGAGGCGAAACAGGCCACCTGTGAAAACTAATTGCAGAGGTTGCATTGTGTCGGTATCTGTAGGAACAATCCGGCAGGAAGAAAGTAAATGTTCTTAATCGGGAAGCAAGATTACCTGCATGACAAAATGTCCTCCTTAAGTAATACAGTGATTTGAAATGGCCCCTTGTGAGGGTGGGGTGGGGTGGAGGAGAGTTCATTCACAAGCAGGCTTCTTATCCCACTAAAACCGCACAAAAAAAGAGATTAATTATTTGATTGAAGATTGCATTTTGGTACATTTGTGAGACTGTAATTTGAACGGAGAAAAATTTCTGCCAGTTGTGATCCCCACCGTTGTTGGTAATTTCAGTCGGTAGAGCACGGGACTCTTAATCTCAGGGGTGTGGGTTCAAGCCCCACATTGGGCAATTGATTCCTGCATTGCATGGGGCTGGACTAGATGACCCTCGAGGTCCCTTCCAACTCTACAGTTCTATGATTTTATGAATCACAAAACTTGGTTGGAAAGCTTTGTGGAAGAATGCTCAGAACTACTAGGAGTTTCAGACGGGATATCTTGTGGTGTAGTGGTTAAGAGCAGTAGAGTGGGAAACGGTAGGAGGGGTTACCTAGGGAAAAGAAGTGGCACGGTTGTAAAGATAAAAAGGTAAAGGACCCCTGGACGGTTAAGTCCAGTCAAAGGCGACCATGGAGTTGCGGCGCTCATCTCACTTTCAGGCCGAAGGAGCCGGCGTTTGTCCACAGACAGCTTTCTGGGTCATGTGGTCAGCATGACTCTAAACCGCTTCTGGTGCAATGGGACACCATGACGAGTACCAGAGCACACAGAAACACCATTTACCTTCCTGCCGCAGCGGTACCTATTTATCTACTTGCACTGGCATGCTTTTGAACTGCTAGGTTGGCAGGAGCTGGGATAGAGCAACGGGAACTCACCCTGTCATAGGGACTCGAACCTCCGACCTTCTGATTGGCAAGCCCAAGAGGCTCAGTGGTTTACACCACGGTGCTACCCGCGTCCCAGTTGTAAGTGTCCCGGTTGTATATGTAAACTGGCTGTTAGTATTGGGGTATGATGGTTCTGCTAATACAATTGCTTCCGTGCAGATGCTTTTCTAAAGCGCTGCTTCCTCCTTAATACTGCTGCATGTTCAGCTTGAGATACCTCATTACACCTCTCAGTTCTTTTCATTATTTTTTGCAGTTCAGCTGCCCAGATGGCTTCTTCAGGCCTGTGTTGATGAATTTGCTTTCCTTTCCCTTTTTCTAATACTTTACACATGTATTTCATTTAATCTTTTGTGACTGTGGACAATTTACACAGACTTTAATAACACAGGGTTGTTGTTGTTTTTGCCACATTTTCTTTCTTGATGGTTGTGTTTGTCACATTCTCTTTTTGCTCCTTAGATTACTGTGTTTCATACTAGGTTTCCTGGGGCACTTAGTACACTGCCTGGCACAATGTTGTCCAGCTCCTTTCTGGAGTCTGTGGGTGGTATTGTTATGTACAAGCTACATAGTCAAAAGTCTTGTGCTATGTTATAATAAGCTACCATGCAACAGAACAAATGTATCCCTTGATCCAGCCGTTTCATTATTCCAAGGTCACTTGAGTTTTCCTTTCTCTGATTTGCTGTTCCTGAGGGAGTGACCAGCCTGAGATTTCATGGCCTTGCCTTTAACTAATTGGAAACTTGCAGTTTTGTGTGTCGTCTTGGGAAAATTATGCAGAATGTGCATATTGGCTTTGGCCCTCTTTTCTCTTGTAGGTTGGAGAATACTTTTCTGGAAATTATATTTCTCTGAGCAATACCTAGTGTATTACTAATGTTTGGTTCTTGCCTTAGTTTTGTTAAGTGCCAGCCAATGAGCTGCAATTAATTACTAGCACAATGCTTAGGGTTAATTCCTAAGTGACAAATACCAATTTCTTTGACATCTCATCTTTCCTGGTAGATCACAGGACAATTGTTGTTTTCTACAAATATAATTTTCAGAAAAGTATTCTCCAAATTGTATTCTGACAAAGCTACAAGCATCAATTAGTTGTAGAAAACAACAATTGTCATGTGATCTACCAGGAAAGATATGATGTCCAAGAAATTGGTTCTTCCAGGGCTGAGACCATTTTGTGTTATCGAAACTATAGTGTCTTTAGGAGAAAACCTGTTTAACATTTTAAACACCTTCTTCCTTTGATGTGTAAGAGTTGGATTGTTATCACTAGATGTTGTAAAAATATTTTTATTGTTCATAGGTTGTAATGACAGGTAGATAGCAAATGCTATTTGTCACTTAGGAATTAACCCTAAGCATTATGCTAGTAATTAATTGCAGCTCAGTGGCTGGCACCTAACGGTACCTAAGGCAAGAACCAAACGTTAGTGATACACTAGGTATTGCTCAGAGAACTAATTGATGCTTGTAGTTTTGTCAGAATAAATGAGAATCATGGCAGTGCTCCATACCAGCTACATTCCCATGGCCGCTGTAATAAAATATATGAAAAATGAGAAACATGACAAATAATCTTACACACGGCAAGGCGTCTTTGGCAAGACAAGAAACTTTACCCCAAAGTCCTAAATATTGTTTTTGAACTTTGCACACGTTAAGTAACTGTGGTGTTCAGTGTGTGGCTGCCCATCATTATGTGCTTTGTATTTTTATATGAATTGTAAGCTGCTTTGTGGAACATGTTCTCAAAAAGCAGATTAGAAAATCTTTTAAATAAATAAAACCTGGACTTGCCACTGACTTTACACTCAACGGAGTGTCACACAGATAATATGGTCCCCAAATTAATGTATCAATATGATCCAGGTATTTAAGCAGACATAAGAACCAGGCTTCCTCAACCAGATTCCTCTGAGATGCTGTTGGACCACAATTTCCACCACTCTTATCACTGGCCATGCTCACTAGGGCTGATGAACATTGTAACTCAGTAACTTCTGGGGAACAAGAAGTTGGATAAGGTTGAAACTATCATGTGTATGTTTTTAAAAAAGATTGTTTGTGAAGAAATCCTTTGTGAGTTGTTGAGATGTACCTGGGCAAGTTAGTTAACTAGAGAATTCATGTGTTCTCATAAGAACAAGGTATTTTGGGAAAGCAAGTGTTTGCTACTTTACGATGGCTCTCGCTGGTTGCACTTGACTTATTGGAAATTAGGAGTCCTGTACGATCATATATCTGCAGACCTCCAGCCTGATTCACATAAACCAGAGCTGGGTTTGTTTGTTTTTTGGTATTATTGTTATCCAACTCGCACAAGAAGCAATACAATTGTTTTAGAATCCTTTGAGACTGGGTAACTTCAGAATACAGTCGTACCTTGGAAGTCAAACGGAATCCGTTCCGGAAGTCCGCTCGACTTCCAAAATGTTCATAAACCAAAGTGCGGCTTCTGATTGGCTCCTGCAGCCAACTGGAAGCCGTGGAAGCCTCGTCGGATGTTCAGCTTCCAAAAATAGTTCACAAACTGGAACAGTCACTTCTGGGTTTGCAGTGTTCGGGAGCCAAAATGTTCGAGAACTAAGCTGTTCGAAAGCCAAGGTATGGCTGTATAGGTTTCAGTTTTTGACCCATGCATAATTGCTATCTTGAATGCTCCTCATGTTAAAAAAAATAGCAAAAAATGAGCTTTCTGCAGGTAGAAAAATAGCACATTGGTGCAAAGAATAGGCTCATTCTCCCTGATAGGCTTCCAGGTTTTATGGATACAGGACACACTCTAAAGCAAAACAGGCTCACGAGGTTCATATATATTTTGCTTCAGATGGACTGTAGATACTGCTGCATCCAATGGGTTGTGTCCAACACTGATTTAGGAGAAAGTGCTTCTGGACATGCAAGTTGGAGCCTTAGGTTTCCACCCTTCTCCCTACCTGCTATTTTAGAGAGTTTCCCAACCCACATGAACAGCTTTTCAGGAACTTCATGTACCCTTCCCAAACTTTGTGTTCTCCAGACATTTTGGATCCAAAATATCTGGAAGTCACCAGGTTGTGAAAACCCACAGCTATAGGAGATCAGTGAAAACCAGCAGTCCTGCCTTGCCCAAGTAGAACTGTATTGCACTTGGTGCAATTTTTAGTTTGGATCAAACTGAATACATTTGGACCTGTAGCTTCTCATAAACCGACTTCTAGCCTATGCCTTAGAATCTATTTCTACAACTTTGGAATTTTTGTTCTAGGCTTTCCCAAGTTCCTTCCTCTGACAATGTAGTTAGAGCCAACTACACCAGCCGTTTGCCAACTGGGGATTCCCCTGCATAATAATGATCACTCATCTGGCTCAGTCACATAAGACAATGGCATGTAGCTTGAGATAAATTGCCCACTATAGTTTACACAGGGGTCAACAAACTTTTTCAGCAGGGGGCCGTTCCACTGTCCCTCAGACCTTGTGGGGGGCCAGACTATATTTCAAAGAGGGAAAAAAGAACGAATTCCTATGCCCCACAAATAACCCAGAGATGCATTTTGAATAAAAGCACACATTCTACTCATGTAAAAACACCAGGCAGGCCCCACAAATAACCCAGAGATGCATTTTAAATACAGTGGACCCTCCGGATACGAACTTAATTCATCCCGGGGGTCTGTACTTACCCTGAAAAGTCCATATCCGGAGGCGCCACTTCTGTGCATGCATGCAGGGCGAAACGCGGAATTATACACTTCCGGGTTTGCCACGTTTATAACTCGAAATTAAATTACCTGAAGGTAACGTAACCCAAGGTACCACTGCAAAAGGACACATGCTACTCATGTAAAAACAGACTGATTCCCAGACCGTCCGTGGGCCAGATTTAGAAGGCGATTGGGCCGGATCCGGCCCCCGGGCCTTAGTTTGCCTACCCCTGGTTTACAGTCTTCAGCCAAGTTCTGTCAATTGGCATAGCAGTTATGAGTCAGGGAAGGGCCTTCAAACTGTCACTTCCAAGATTTTTAAGGAGGGGAAAACACACAAAAAAAACCTGTTTAGATAACCACGTCTTAGAGTTATAGGGATAAAAGAACGTAACTTGTTTTGTCAGCATTCAAAGATAGATAAAAAAAAGAGAATAGGAACATCAGGGACGTAGTGGGTTCTAAATTCTTGCTGTGTAGAACTGGCAGAGAAATAAAAAGCCCATGGGACATTTCTTCCTGATGCATGCCAGTCAGATAAACTGGTAACACATCTGTTCATATTTCCCTTCATTTCACTTTTGATTTGTATACTGCCTTTCTATATTACTATAAAATTACCGTTGAAGTTGTTAGCCAGTAGTGCTCAGTCAGACTTCCCCTCCTTCACTGTTATTGCACATTGATCTGAGGTGGAGACCCAGAGAAGTGTATGACTTTACGAGGAAAATCCACCTGCGTTTAGAGAATCTTGTGTTTTGATGCAGCTTGCCGTGTTGCAGCGGGTTTCTTTTGTTTTGCTTTTTTAAAAAGTTACCTATTTAATGAGAATTTGGCTGAAACCACCTGCAGGTGTTCTTGCTAATATTTATTAAAGAGAGGTATTTTATGGGATCTTTGCAGGTTGACATTTTATGGGACTTTCTGATCCCTCACAGATTGCAAAATCCCTTGAGCGTCGGAAGAAAGTACTTTCTAGGACAACATAGAAATGTGGCTCCCTTCTGCACAGATATCTGTGTCTGTTAGCACTTGACATATAGAGTCTAATCTTGCAGAGGTGTCACTGTGAGTATTGGACTTGCTCCCAGGTAAGCCTGCATAGGACAGAAGCCTAGTTTTATTTGTTTCCCGGCTCTTCCCGTGCTAAAATGCTTGCCCGATCGTTTATAATGCGATCCTTCAAACCATAGGGAGATGTGTGTGTTTTTTCCAGTAGCTGGATTCATTTGCAATTTTCGTCCTGTTAGGGTAAGCCTAGATAAGTACTAAGGAGGCTTCAAGAGACTTCCTCCCTTCCCCAAGTAAACTGGATGAAGGGGGAAAAAGTACGCAGCAGCACCTTTTGTGTGTGTAACCTCTTGAAGTTAAGCACAAGGCTTGTTGATCTGATAGGTTGTTTGCATATCATTTGCTGAAACCTGAATGACTGGTTATTCTGGTCAGGAGAAAATAGCACTGACATCATGTGATTCTGGCAGAATAAAAGCCACATTGGAACTTAGCCTCCAGATACCCAAGGGGGCTGGCAGCAGTCTCAGGGGTTGGCTGTGAGCCCCATTGAGCTCACTAGTATAATCAGTTAACTGCTGAGCTGGACAAGCTACCCTGTTTTATTTATTTTTTTCCTTTTTACAAGCTCTGTCTAAAAGAATGACGGGCAGTGAGCCACTAGTATTCTTCCTAGAGCAGTTGCTGGAGATTAACTGTTTAGCTGCTTCTCCTCCTGAACAAAGGAAATATTGTGAAATGGAAAAAAGCCTTTCCCCCTCCTGTCACTTCTTGAATGACTTTATCTTAAACAAATATATTTAATAACATTAGGTTAGAACTTCCGGCTGATTCCTTTCTCTGAAGTTTCTTTTATATTTTTTTAAACCGCTGTTGTCGTTTAATATTTAAATCTTGCAATCTGCTCATTGCTCAGGCATGTACATTTGCATTTTATATTTCATAGAATTGCAGAGTTGAGATGGGACTGTGAGGATCATCTAGTCCATGGGTAGGCATACTAAGGCCTGGGGGCTGGATCCGGCCCAGTCACCTTCTAAATCCGGCCTGCGGACAGTCTGGAAATCAGCATGTTTTTACATGAGTAGAATGCGTCCTTTTATTTAAAATGCACCTCTGGGTTATTTGTGGGGCCTGCCTGGTGTTTTTACATGAGTAGAATGTGTGCTTTTATTTAAAAGGCACCTCTGGGTTATTTGTGGGGCATAGGAATTTGTTCATCCCCCCCCAAAAAAAAATAGTCCAGCCCCCCCACAAGGTCTGAGGGACAGTGGACCGGCCCCCTGCTGAAAAAGTTTGCTGACCCCTGATCTAGTCCAACCCCCTGCAATGCAGGAAACTTTTCCTCCAAAGTGAGGCTTGAACCCACAACCCTGAGATTAAGTGTCTCATGTTTTACCGGCTGATTTGGCTCACACCTTTTCAACTGAGACTCTGTGAGACAAATGACATTAAAAACCAAGCGAATAATAAAGCAGCAACTGAAACTTCAATCTTGGGGGAAACCTGGCACCTTTGCCCAGCAGTGTACCAGGGAAGGAGGTATCTTCCAACTCAGAGAGCCTCAAATGTGCTGTGTGGAACATTCAGCAAAATTAACTGCGATGAGGTAAGATGTACTCCTCCAGAAGAGAGTTCAAAGCACCTGTGGCCCAGTTGAGAAGACTCCAGCTGGTCTACTTCATACACTCAGGGGATCCAGAGCAGGGTCTCTGAGGATGATTGCGGAGTGAGGATAATGTTCATATAAGGGGAGGTGATCCTTTAGATTAGCTTTCACTAGGATGTTCTCATCAGCTCCAGCCAACGTGGCCTTGCTGGCTGGGGCTGTTTGGGCTTGTAAGCCAGAACACTTGGAAGCTTTCTGATTTAATGAAGGCTGCTTTAGACACTCTTGCAAGTTTCAAAACAGTTTCCCCCCCTGAACTGCTTAAGACAAACGGTGTGATATGGTATGATATATCCACCAGGTAGCTTAAACCGCTCCTTTTCTATCTTGAACTCCATCCTTCACTTTTCCTCAGTGTTGTTGACTAGATATTGTGATACAATAATGCTCGAAGTAAATCTTGCTTGGCGGTTATGTTTTTTTATTTCTCTGGTATAGGGATACAATGGTACTTTGGTTGTTGGACCTAATCCATACTGGGAGTCCGTTCGACTCCTGGAACCATTCGAAAACCAAGGTGCGACTTCCAGTTGGCTGCAGGAGCTTCCTTCACTTAATCGGAAGCTGCGTCGGACGTTCAGCTTCCAAAAAACGTTCGCAAACTGGAACACTCACTTCTGGGTTTGCAGCGTTTGGGAGCTGATTTGTTTGGTAGCGAAGCTGTTTGAGAACCAAGATACCACTGTGGTAGGTTAGATGGACTGATGGTTTAACTCAGTATGTGGTGGCTTCTTAGGTTTCTATATTCTTATTGACAATTAAGTGTTTTTTCTCTCATGAAAATCATGCTATGGGGAGTACTTTTAATGTTCCGCCTCTGTATTTGCACAGGGGGCAAATCTGTTGGTAGAAAGTCGAGGCACCAACCCAGCTCATGCTTTCGATAGTCTTGTCATCTCTGATTTTTAGCTACTGGGTTTTAAAAACTGACAGCTACCTTTTATTTCCTCATTACTTGATATTGTTCGCAGCATGTTGTTTTGAATCGTAAATGGCACAACTTGTCTGTTTGTAGGCTTGGATGCTAACTGTTCACTCCATTTACAAAAAAGAAATGTTGTGGTCAAGAAGGCTTATATAAATGCCACACTCCTTCTCTGAATGGAAATTCCCATTGGAATGAAATGATTTCATATAGTAATCTTACATCGTTCTTTTGGCAAGTTCTTCCTTTGCAGAGTCACAATAAGTCATCAATAGGGGGCAATCATTTTGGATTATTCCCCATGTTATAGCAATTATTTATTTTCCGGCTACTTATTTCCCTTATTTAACTTTGCACCCCATTAGTTTTATATATATACAAATAAAAAGTGGAGCACTTTGGAATAGAAGAGAAAATCTGAGCCCATAGTACTAGAATTGAACTACGATTTGTTTCCAAAGCATTTCTAGACTTGACGTGGCACTTTCTTGACTTGTGCATACATGCACACATGTGTGCCAGTGATTCATTATTTGCTGAGCAGAAAAGATAGCCTTGTTATTTGCATGCAAATTATTTTTGGAGATTACTTAAGGGATGAAAGCGGCGGAAATTATTGGAAATATTTGGAGCAAATCCTGTTAGTTGGCTCCAGATCTTTTGCACCTGCAAAGCCAGATAATGAGCAGTTTGCCTCCTGGTGTTGTGAAGGTGGCCTCCTTGCCAGACTTTAACAAATCCTGGGATACTCTTCCCCGCTTCCTTCTCAGTTCTCACAACATCGATGCCGTTGTCACATTGCGCAGCTACTAGAATGGAAGATGAGTAGGTACAGAACGCAGCAAACGGCAAATGGTCAGATCACCTTAGTACCCCCATGGAGACTGAATAGTGATTTAGAGTTTTGTCCCTACCAGAGAAGAATGGCAAACCAAGCTGATGGACTATGCTGAAATCGCAAAACTGACCAGAAAACTCAGAAACCAAGAGGACAAAAGCTTTATTAAAGAATGGGAAATTTTTATAAGTTATTCAGGTGACCACTGTAAGCAGATGGAAACAAGAGCAGGATTCTGAATCACCTGTAGGGTAAAAATTACTAGGGATAATAAGCTTTGATATAAAATTTGGAGCATGGATGAATCTGCCATTGTAGATGTTTAAACTGAGATTCCATGGGGGTGGGGTGGGGGGAAGTCCCGAGATTCGGAGAATCTCTCTATATAGATATGTAAATATTAGTTTGTTTATTTACACTTTGTCTTTGTAAAATAAATAAACAGAAATTCATAAAAAATTAGTGATTTAGAGTTTTGTGATTGTGGAAAGTGAGAGAGTAGATAGGCCACCTTATATACTATAATTAAATTACCATAAATCTCAAATCTGGGTTAATTTGCAATAAACCTGGAAAACTAAGTCCTGTTAATGCATTCATGTGTGTTTCGTGCCATATGAATGTGATAAAGACCACCCTCAGTTTTGCATGGGATTTACGTCCAGGACCCCTGCACATGTCTCAGTTCCGCCCCTTTTCATGACATCTTTATGGAGTCTTGTGATCACTCCTGGATCCAGCACCATGCGTACTTGCGACAGCATGTCATTTGGACGTGCCTAAATCAGTTGTTGCCTGTACATTTGGAAAACAGGTTAAATCAGTTGTGAGATTTGGTGAACTGTCATTCTCATGTTTTGTATTTTTTGATGGGGGGAGGAGAGTTAAGAGAACTACATTATCATTATTGATTAGCTACCACTGTGGGATTGCTATATTCTTCTAAATGTGCTTTTGCTTATCATTGGGTGAAAAAATGTATGCCCTGTGCTCAATTAATGTTTGTGTGTTTGAGAGCGTTCTTCCATCCCTATCACCTGAACCAGAGCCTGTCCGCAACCATACAAGTTGTGATGATTCGCTACGTGGCAGGCAAAACCCAAACGGCAACAGCCAATCAGCCAATTGGGGAAAATTCCTGCCATGCCCCTGTCCCAACGACAGAAGACACAGGATGGCATAGCAAGGTCAAGTGCAACAAGCCCTAAAATTAGGGAGAGGTGGGCGGGTGTTCCGAATGCACTCGCCGAAAGAGGAAGCTCTGGGTCATGTGCATGGGCATAAATAGGTCCCTTGAACCATTTGGACTGTGTCCCATTGGCCAGATTGCACCCAGCTTTGAGGGACCTACCAATCGGGTGTTGTGGCTGACCAATCGTACCCACCCACAACGCAGGGTGTTGGTTATCCAGGTCTCAACACCATATGTGCCCTCTTTAAGGGAGGACCCAATTTATGGCTACATCTTTTCAGTCCCTCTGCATTGTTTCTGTCAGAATCATTGGGAAATAATGTCAAAGAATACTTTGAACGGTTCCTTAAAACTTCTAAATATGATTTTTGTTCAAGTCTCTCAACATTTTATGTAAACCAAATTCTCATAGAAACTGTAAGTTGTACAGTCTGTGACTAATAATGAAGAAATGCTTTGTTGATTGTATACCAATGCACGATAAAGGCATAACTAGAAATCTGGTACAGAAATATAAATAATACTTATCTTTAAGACAGCATCTGTCATCTGCCTCAGCAGACAGCATTTCTTTCATTCTGCAAAAAAGAAGAAGCTGAAATATTTGAGTAGCTTTGTTTTGTGCTCCATGAGGCTTAATCAGTTTTTATTAAATTCTAAATTAAAATTTGGCTTTCATAGTCTCTGCCCCTCCCCTTAGTTGTTCTCTGAAATATGGAACCGGAAGAAGGATCACGATGGCTTCAAAAGTATAAACAGAGGTGGCAGAGTCCTGCTAAATTTTATTTCGGCGGGACTTCAGTCATTTTTCAGGAGCTCCTTTGAAATGTCTGTTTGCGTTGCACCGTATCAAAGAGCAGTTAAAATACTGTTGGTAAATAATTTCCCCTGAGAACCTCCTTTTAAGTGTTGCTTAAAAATAACAGTCCTGAAAAGGCTTTTTACGGGCATTCACAATGTGCGGTTGTACTAATTAGAGCTTCGTGGTAGCTTTAAGCATGAACTCGTCTTCATATCTTCCTTGGAGTTGTGCAAACCATACTCTCTAAAATGCAGGGAACTTTGGGTTGGCAGTTTAGCCAAGGGCACATGACCAGTAAGTTGCAAAGCGTGAAGTTTAAAAATGCATCAAATTGAGATCTGGTATGGTTCTAATCTAACCAATATAAGGACTTGTAACCAGATAGCATAGTTAAGCTCATGTGTATGGAAAAGATTGCTTTTTTGTTGTTGCACCCATGTGTATGCTTACGAGGGAGTAAGCCCCACTGCATACAATGGGGTTTACTTCTGAGTCAACCTGTATTGCATTTCCTCATATGCCTCAGACTCCCCTTGCAGCAAGGCTATTCATCCTCCCTGTTCCATGTGGTCTGGAGGACTTTTCTTGCCTTTGAATCTAGACTAGCACAACAGTTGGGATAGCTCAGTTGGGAGACCATGGGACTCTTAATTTTGAAGTTGTGGGTTCGAGACCTACAGCGGGCAAAAGAGTTCTGTATTGGTTTAGAGGACCCTTGAAATCCCTTCCAATTTTATGAGTCTATGTTCTGCAAAAGCTAAATTGTAGTAGGCCCACATGGTTGACTGATCTTCCAAGTTGAGCTGTAACCTTTCTACGGGTTGTTTCTTAAAGTGAGAGTTTACATTGTTTTTCCTCAATGCACCTAAATTCTGTGGTGAATGGATTTTTAGTATTCCTCTTGTATCCCCTTCACGGCCTAGGACCCTCGTACCTACAGGACCGCCTCTCCCGGTATGCCCCACGGAGAGCCTCAAGGTCCATAAATAGTAACACCCTATTGGTCCCGGGCCCTAAGGAAGTTAGATTAGCTTCAACCAGAGACAGGGCATTTTCAACTCTGGCTCTGGCCTGGTGGAACACTCTGCCTCACGAGACCAGGGCCCTGCAGGATCTGATTCCTTTCCGCAGGGCCTGTAAGACAGAGTTGTTCCACCTGGCCTTTGTCTTGGAGCCAGTTTGATTCCCTCCCCCTCTTTCTTTTTTCTTTTCCTTTCTCCTCCTGCGATGAGGCTGCATTTTAATATTTTAATGTTTCAATATTTTAATGTTGTATTTTAATTTTGTTTTTTAAGTTGTATTCATTCAACTTGTTTTTATTATTGCTTGTTAGCCACCCTGAGCCCGGCCTTGGCTGGGGAGGACGGGGTATAAATAAAAATTATTATTATTATTATTATTATTAATCTTATGTGATCGTATAATATAGTTCTAATAAGGTTGGTGCGTATTTTAGTATGGAGATGTCTGCGTTTTTTGAAACTCTCTCCAAACCGGGGGTGATGTTGGCTAAAGAGCCTTGAAGTTTGGAGGGGTGTGTTTGTGTGTTTCTGGCAGGTGGACAGTACATATTGTATCAGCGTTTGACAATACTGCCTTAGACATACTGCCAAGCATTTGTAACAAGATAGCACTGTTACTGTATTTGGTTTTTCAACTTTCCTTTTGCATACTCTACATTTCTTTCCTATTCTATAAACAATGCGTTGCATGCTTTTTGTACTTGTGTAAACAATTCAAAGTTGTAACTTGAGAGGGACCCAAAGTCCTCTGTGAGCTGCTTCCACGTGATGCTTTTATTTCAAAGCAGTTCTCCTGCACAGCACTCCCCAGAGTAAAAATGAAGTAGAGATTTGTGCAAAACTTCTGTGTATCTCATAAAAGAGAGAGAGATTTATTGCTTTGTGCAATTGCAATCACGGCAAACAGACATTTCTATTACGTCAGTGTAAAAGAACTCAGGCTTCCACTCATTATTTTAGGTCAATATTGATTAACAGCAGCCTGAGCAGGAGCAGTGAACAACATTATAGTTACAGTGGTACCTCAGGTTAAGTACTTAATTCGTTCTGGAGGTCTGTACTTAACCTGAAACTCTTCTTTAACCTGAAGCACCACTTTAGCTAATGGGGCCTCCTGCTGCTGCCGCGCTGCCGGAGCACGATTTCTGTTCTTATCCTGAAGCAAAGTTCTTAACCTGAAGCACTATTTCTGGGTTAGCGGAGTCTGTAACCTGAAGCGTATGTAACCTGAAGTGTATGTAACCCGAGGTACCACTGTAATGGTTGCAGCTTGACTTCACTTACCTCACCCCACCCCACTGCCCTGCTCACAGTTGTGAAGAATATTCCAAATTATGAATAGCCCCTGTCACCGTTAAGAAAGGTAGGAATAGGCCAATGTATATATTTGGACTGTTCCTGCTTCAAGTGACCTTTCTTTTTGGAAGTTCAGAAAGCTCTTAACCTAGCTCAAGGTTGTCATCTGAACTAGTCAGATGCTTAATTGAGAATCAATCACAGTCCATCGGTTGAAATATGAGACATTAGAGCTGTCTTGCCCCAAAATGGCAACTAGACATTCCCTTTTGGTGACTGAAACTTTGGTTCAAGTAGCCATTTGGCTCCTAGCTCTTATATCTGACTATCTATCTATCTAATCTATCTATCATCTATCTCTTTAATCTATCTCTCTGTCCTCTATCTATCATCAATCTATCTCTATCTATGATTTTTCAAATATTTTCACAAAATACTTCAAATCCAATGTTACACTGTTGACTTCCCACCCGCAGCTACACAGTGTTTTTATACTCAAACCTTTTTCACTGCATTGTATCTTTATTACGAAAAGTTTCTCCATTACAGTTATTTTACCTTTTTTCTTGAAATCCTGCCCATGATTTCATTTGACTGTAATTTTTTTTTTTTTGGAAAAAATAGTCCACGAAACGCCTCCATTCTTCTATAGAGCTCATCATTTTGATCTCTTAATTTTGCCGCCAACTGAATTTCGCTGTCACAGCGCTAACTTGAACAATTCCGTTCTATTTTATGGTGTGGCGGAGATTGTGGCTTGTTCGCAGAACTAAGGGTTTACATGTTTCGTTTTGTTTTAAAACAGGAAAAGCTCACCATGAGTGGAGAAATCCTGGTTAGTTCTTGATTACTTCTTTCTTTCAATAGTCTCTCCCACATGATGAAAGAGATATGTGTTGTTACATAAGATTCTGTTAACATTCAGTGAAAGAATTTCACACAGTTAACCAAACTCAGATACTGAACTTAAAAGGAATGCAGGCAGCGTGGTTGTTTCTGTAAGATCACCTCACATTAAAAAAACCTTTAAGTTAACAAATGTGTAGTATGCACAATTAAAATTACTTCTGGAAAAGTTTAACGCGTTTCTTTGAATATCAGATGTAGGTTGTGTTTACTGAATTTTTAATCTTTTGAAATAAATAATTGGATCTAGCAGTGATAACTTAAATCGTTAAAGATGTCATGATACCTTTCACAAGGTGAAATTGCATTAATTAAAAAGATTCTTAGCTACCCAGTTTTGGCTATATGTCAATTAGATAATTATATTCTGTCAACATTAATTATCTTGCTGTGTTAGTTAAATGTGATATTCTTAACTTCCTGTCCTAAGTACCCATGCCAATTTCCTCTGCGAATTTAAACCCCTTTTATATTTTACCTCAAGAAAACTGCATTTTAGGTGGGTGGGTGTGTTATTTTTTAGAAATGATAAAACAATACGATGTTTGTATAATAACTATCTATGTACATATCCATATATCATTACATCTAATTCTGAGCTCAGGCAGAAAGTGCTGATGGGACTGCATAACTGACTAATCAGAGGTATGTATAGACCTGCTCAGGGAGTCCCTGAAGTTTTCGGTTGTTCAGTATATATTTAAAAAACAAAAACAAAACCTTACGTGGTAAATAAATTCCCAAGCTTTCCAAAATAGCTAAATGAAGAGTGAGCATTCCCAGTAAACCAGGCATGTCCAAAGTCCGTTTTGGGGGCCTAATCCGGCCCGCCGGATGGTTTAATCCGGCCCCTGTGGCAGTTTATTTCCTGGGGTAAAATCCTAAAAAAGCCCCCAACAACTGCAATCCTTCAATCCCCCCAAAGGCTAACAACTTTGGTTGGCCCTTTGGCTGGCCCTCATGGCCCTTCACGTCATCAAATGTGGCCCTCTTTGAAAATTTTGGACACCACTGCAGCAAACCATGAACTTGAGTGTTAACTGGAAAAGAAATCCAGAAGATATATGTTTACAATGGGGTATGCTAGACTGGTTGGAACCTCAAAGAGGAATATTCATGTTATGAGGGGAGTGTATTGCCATGAGTCTTAATTTCTCTCTTTCTCCTCCCATCTCTGCCACCTGAAGTGATAACTAGAAATAACCACATGAATCCTTGTGGGTTTTGATATGCTTTGAACACCACTGCTAAGCTGTGGTTTGTTAAAAAAAACCATGGTTTATTGAGCAAACCACGAGTTGCCTCACAGACAAGCAAAGAAGCCACAGCTTGCTTCTTCAAAGCTTGGTTTGTTTTCCAGATCCTTTTGCCTTGTGTCTTGGTTGCTTGTTGAGTGTTTGCAGCTGGGCGGCCAGCCAAACCATAGTTTACTAAGGCTGTTTGGTTCAGACATAACACCAAGCCATAGTTAAAACAAGCTATAGTTTTGTAAGCCAACAACAAACCGTGGTTTCACATCATCATTTCATTTCCACGAAATGAGCCCCAGTCAGCCTGCTGGACTGAGTTCAGATTCAAACAAAGAAAGAAACTTCACTAATTAACCCTGGCTTAGCATTAGGTTCGGATCTGGTCGGTGTGTATCATATTGCCTAGATACGCCTGTTGGGTCCTTAATTTCCCAGAAAGGACCAAAGGGAAAAGGGTATAGTAAGGGCAGGGGTGAATCTGGGTGAGTCTCAAGAGCAAAGAAGAATCGTAGCAGTAGGAAATGGAGGAACACCCACCTCACCCAACTTAAGGAATTTCATGGGCAGTTCAGAGAAAAACAGCCTCTCAGATAACAAATCATTCCGTTGCAGGATATATTTGCAGCAAATCTGTATTTTTTAATTTAGATTTCTTCCCTGCCCTGTCTCGGAGGCCTGGAGCTTATGATAATATTACTGTATCTCGTTTTATCCTCCAAATAACCTTATGAGTTAGATTATGCTTCATAAATGGTGAGGCACATTCCAGTGAGCTTAGTGGCTGAGTAGGGCTTTGAAAACAGGCCTCTTGGCATTCTGTCCCACATCATATTCCAGATGTGGGGATAAGGGCTGAGTGACAGGGCCATGTCTATCAGCACATTGTGTGTTGATGGCCGGGCTAGGATTTTAACTGGGGACTCCCCAATCTTACAGCTTCTGGCTCCTCAGCACACTCTCTTCATGACGGCAGCGAAAAATAAAGGCTGGAAAAGCTTTGGAGCTAAGGCTTTATCTCAATAGCCGGTGGTGTTTATCAGCTTTTTTCTTTTTTTCTTTTTTGAGTGAGGAATAGAGATGTAGTTCCAAGGCACTGACTCATGTGGCCACAGCAAAGTACTAGGGATACAGCCATTTCCTACTTTTGTTTCAAAATGAACTCACTGCGCCTGGCGGATGCAAGTTCTCAGCTGCAGGGCTTTGCGGAAGGAAATG